CATGAGACGACACTAGACAGCCTGCGCGGGGGGGGGGGGGGGGGGGGGGGGCAAAATATTAGTTCGTAATTCGTACAAGTACCTGGGCATTGCACTGCCAAGCTCGGCATACTACCTGCAAGATCACCACTCCTACTTCGGCCAAGGAGCTGTACGAGAATCAAACATTCTTAGCAAAAGAAGCCTCTGCTGTTGCCACAGATCCATCGTGTTGCGGGAGCTCTGGAAAGTAGTAGTTGTACCATGGCTGACGTTTGCAAATGCAGTGGTGCGTGTCTCCGGAGATGTCTGCGCCCCCATGGATCTTAGGCAGCGACAGGTACGTGGGACGCCAAGCATTAGGCTGCTATAGAACGATCGCCAACGGGGCAGTCCAATTTGATCTCGGCTGGTCCACTTTTGAGGCTGGGTAGGCGACCAACAAAATTACGCACGTCGGACGCCTTCGCCTTACGGACAGCTATCGTTATGCCCAGAGGTTTTTTACCTATGTTAACTTGACTGGACTACGGACCCTGTAAAGAAGAGTCTTTATCAACTTGAACACAAGTATGGCTTCCTTTCGGACCCATTTGAACCGTCAACGGAAACGGAATGCGCGTCAGAGGTAAGGAAGAAGGTCCGCGATCAGGAGTGCCGACGTTGGCTCAAAAATGTACAAAGTACGTCGACGTTAAGAATGAACTTTACCTACAAAAAAAAACATTAAATAAAAACATCGCCTTAGAAGCACGGCTGTACGATAATAACCTGGGCAATAGCTTATTGCTTGAGACACGTGCCGGGGCCCTTCGGACACTGCCTTCAGACGTCCGTTTCACGCCACTGCGCCCTCGAGGATGAGCATGGAGTGCGGGGCCCACGACAATACGGTGAAACATATTGTGCTAGATTGTGCACTACTCCAGTCATCCCGATCGCAGGACAATGACATACACCCTCAGAGCCTCTTGAAGCTTGCTGAAGCGCTGGGCTTTTGAGCTAATGATACCGGGCCAATCCAAACAAATTGCCCATCGACGGGGTTCCAGGTCTGCTCTGTGCAGGCCCAGTGGCCTGCACAGAGCAATGGTAAACACTAATAGAAGACTGGAGTATTGGGTGAGGAAGGTCTAACTCAGAAAGCATTAAGATTCGCACACCCGCATGTTTGATCATGAACCTGGTTCGAGGCAGCGCGTTTCAAAAAGAAAGAGTCGCATCATCATCATCATCATCGTCACCACCACCACCACCACCACCATAATCATTATCAGCCGCAGCATCATAACCTAAGGAAAACTGTTTTGAAGCAAACCTTCTAGATGGCGCCTCAAACGACGGGTGGCGACCTTGAGAAGTAGAGGAATTTGTCTCTCCTCGGGACTTCCCTCAACTAAGCTGATCGATAGTCACTAACAGAGTGAGAACGGCAAGGCGTCTCTTCGGGATGTTTGGCCTCCAGGACGCGCACGTAACCTTCCGCTGTGCAGTAGTGCTGTGCATTATCGCGGTTCAAGCGACGCCCATGTAATATAGAAAGTAGGAAGCTCCCTCCATAGGCGGGTCCACGAAAGAAATTTCCTGCTGCTTAGTTCTGTGGATGACTATAGTGACGTTACCAGCACACAAATAGCTTAAGTGCTACGCAAGAGCTTAACATAAATTAAAAACCGAGCGTGTTGGTAAGGTTCGTTTTTTTACGCATGAAAGCATAAACAGATACAGGACGAAGCACGTAACATGACATCTTTCAACTAGCAACAGCAAGAATGAAACAGAACCGACCCCCAGAAATATTGTGTAACAATATTTCTGCTCCTTAACTGTCACTGACGAAAGCAGAAGTTGAATTTCTTAAACCTGAATTTTGCGGATTGTTTCACACACCGATGTCTTCTTGTGTTTCTCAGCGCTTAATCTCATTTTTCAAACAGTAAATTTATTATTTTAGTTTTATATCTTTTCCTGTGTGACATTTCCCTTTGCTTCAACATTCTTTATCCCTTTCGTTCCAAGATTTGTACACGCCTTTGGGGGTGGTTCAATTTCATTCTTGTTGTTGCTAGTTGAAATATGCCATGTTCTGTGATCGGTCTTACTTGTTTATCTTTTCGTGTAGAAAAAAAAAGAATGAAAGTTTTCGTCGGCTTATTCAAGATCAAAGAACACTTCTGTATTGTTTAACTAACTCTGACTTGAAGATTAATACGTCAATACATCTCCAGTGAATAAATTTGACATAATTTCTAGGGCATTTCAGGGAGGAAAAGTCACACTATTGATATCGACAGAGGCGATATATATACGCTTGACTTTAAGTATCGAACGCTTTCACTGACTCTTAGAAATTTGAAGTGCGAACCTTTTGAGCAGGGCGGATGATAAACAGCGGCCAATAAAATATATGCAATAGGCAGAACCATCACATTCCCAAATGTGTACAACTAAATGGCGTGATATATTTATGCGTAGTATTCAACTTGAAAATGAAAATGGCACTACTGACTAAATTAATACAAACTCTTTACAAGTGATTGCAACGTATACGTAATTATATTCAAGTGAAACACGTTTTCGCGTAAGCTGCACGCGGCACATTACTCGTGAAGGGTTTCAACGCTAGTGTCATTTATTTTATTTTTTAGTATCAGTTCTCCCATAGATAGTGTTGCAGATAATTGAGAAAATAAGGCACCCAAACATAACTAAGGCACCATACGGTAAAGTTGATATCATTTTGACATCAGAAGTTTTTTTATGCAGTGGTCGCTATTCGTATACACGTGAAATTCACATCTTTCCTGAAAGTATGCAAAAGTTCGAACAATACGTTCAATGCTGTGCGTAGACAAATGCGGTGTGAATGCTCACATCATTTCAGAGTTTTTTTGGCGCTTTAACACCTGAATGTTTTACTCAAGACGAAACAGACTTAGTGCGTCAAGATGTGGCTCGAGGTACCACATTCAAGAAGTGGAAATAGCACACACATGAACATAAGGTATAAAAATAGAGCATTACTCGGCATTAAACGTTTGATGAGTAGATGGAAACGCCTGCCGTGCACAAATCTCAGTCTGCTTGAACTTATTGCAAAATACTAAGAGAAAAATAAGATAAAAAAAATAGCTTAAACATAATTCACTGAAGCGGGAAAACCCGTGGCGTGGTCCGTAATCGTAAGTCGCCAGTTTTTTTTTTTTTTTTTTTTTTTTTTTAATAACTGCTTACTCATATCTTTTTCACTTGGTGTCCACTTCTGTCTCGAGCCAGACGTGTTTTGGCCAACTTTAAAATAAGCGCTGGATTTTTTTTTTTTTTTTTAAGACGCTGTTACATTTGAAGGGCGCCAGCTAGTTTGAGCAGAGATCTCAGAATGATACATAGCCTGATGATAGAATGGCGATTCTGCACTTCTTTCTATGCGTTTGAGGACAACTTCTGTGAACGTGGATAGGCGTGTGCTGGTTCTGCAGTGTTTCTCTGTAACAGATAAAATAATGCTGTCCAAGCTTATATATAATCATTGCTAGCCTAAGAATCGCAGCACGTGGCGATTCCGAACAGCTTATTGGCGCACCTAAAGATATAGGATTCCGGCATTAGTTGATAAGGACACATATAAGAACAAATTACGAAGCAAAGGGCGTGAGCATAATAGGCCATAGCCTTCCATTCTTCAAGGGACGTGCAGAAACATTCCCCACCAAAAAAAAAAAAAAAACATATTTTATTTTCTGTCAGACGATACAATAAGGTGTCCTGAGACTTCCAAGACCAGCTTCTGCTGCATAGCAACGTATATTTTTTTAATAAAGCAAAAAAATGAACCGCTCGAAATCGAAACATGAGGACGGAAGCTCATGGCCGGAAGTCACGTGGCTACTACCAACCACGTTTTTTTTTTTTTTTTTGTTTATTCAGCACAAAATTTGCATGATATATTTCCTTGTCTATACGTCCGACTGTTCGAAACTATATCTGCAGCGTTAAACGTTATTCAAACAGTATATACGAAAAAAAAAATCAGTGTGTTTTTTATGCAGGAAATAGTCATTTTTACTTTTGGTGCCGTTTCTTCAACTTGTTTTTTTTCGGAATCCACGCAATGTCACAATTGAAACTCATTGGTATCGCGTACGCGTTATGGAATTGGTAACTAAATTGTGAGAGCTATACAAGTTAATCGTCATTAAAATTTAAGATACATTTTCAGTTTTAAATTAGTTGGCCTTCTACGACTGAAATCATTGAGCAAATTGTGATTTATTCGATTTCTATTAAACGTCAGGTCTTTAAAAAAAATGTCGAAAGTTTCACCAAAAATTTACTGGCAAAGGAGTCTCGCTAAATGCTGGAAAATACGGTGATTCTCGCCGTCTGTTTACAGCAGACCACTGTGATATCTCTAAAATGTCACTCGAGTCACGAAACCGCATCCGGCTATGATATGGCGAGCGAACCCTGGGTTTTATTTTTGATATGCTCTGTGAAATTGGACGAGGGAACCCTTATCTTCAACTGTGACTGATGCGACAGCAAGCGGCTTTGCGGTGAAACCGACTGGCAATAAAAACAAAAACCGAAGAAAAAAGCAGAGGAAATGACAGCGTCGGAGCGAAGTAAGTGTCTCTTCCGAGAAAAGGCCGCCCCTTGGAAATCCGAGCAGACCTTGAATTCAAGCCTGGAAGTGCCAGGGACGGCGGGTGGCGAAGGCCGATAGTTATGTTTTACGTTTCATCTTACGATGGACCAAAGCAGAGGCAGCGAACCACCCTAGCCAATCGAGCACTGTGAACGCACCACGTGGCTCGGAGCCCCTAGTGTCAATGCGTTTCTCCGGACGGTCACATGACAGTCTCACGGTATCGGACTGGATCCGGTGGCTCACAGAGCCCATTGCAGTTTGTCGTGTTGCGAAACGGATTTTACTAGCGAAAGTGGAGCGATGCTTGTCTTTTCTTTCTCGCTTTTTTCTTTTTCTCTCTCTCTCTTTCTTTTTCTCTTTCTCTGGGAAGCGAATACTAGCTTGCGTGTCGCGACGCTGCGACGTAATTTTGATGTTGAAGATTTGATATGACGTCACGGCGAACGACTTCTTCGCTGGCAGTTCCGAGCGGGGCACATTCGCAGTCACCGTGTCAGCCAGAGCAGCATCGCCTAATTTTACTCGGTGAGTTCTCCACGTAACTTTATGTTTTTGATAATTTATCCTTCGTGACTTTGAATAGCATGTGTCTTCAGACGCTGCAAGTCTAACTCGGATATATCGTTTCTGTAGAGGGTAAGCTCACAAAAGGAACCTATATTTTACTGTTGCTGGGACTAAACAAATGTTCTTAGCTGGCAGTACTTTCATTTTAGTTATGCCACCGGGAGGAATTATATTAAGCCGGCATTGAGCATACGCATCCCGCACGCATGTGAATAAAGTAGGCACTGATGTTTGATTGCTGACCGCTTGTTCTTAAAATCATGCAGTTATTGTGAGCTGTTCAGGGATAATATTTCGCATTGAAATACATTTGTGAGCCAAAGTGCTAAAGCTAGGCGCTAAACTAGAAAAACCACTTATGGTAGATAGATACCCCGTTGTTTTCTGTTCCGACAAAACGTTTACTGGCTTTGAGAACCTGACGTTTACAAAGCATTGAGCGGTTGTTACGTAGTCTTAATTAAGCAAACGATGTCAAATCTTTTTCGTGCTTTGCCTAAACATGAAAAATACATTATATTCTCTAAAAAAGTACACGTAGTTTGTATTAACTACACCTGCAGAGAATATGCAAGTATTTTCATTGTTTTTTGTAGTACATACAAATCTCTTGAACAAAACCGTGGACAAAGTGTAATTAATTAAATTACATAGTCTCGAGCGTAACAAAGTTAAGAGTTCAAATTGCAAAGCAACAGGATATAAGACCATGAAACTGTACTTCCTAATAATTTGAGAAATCCCGACATTAAACAAAACAGGGGTGCCTTGCAAGACGGCGGGAAACGAATGGACTGGGACGTCGCCGCCTGCGGTGATTGGTCGGCGGAGTTGCGCTGACCAATCACAGCAGATGGCGATGTCCGAGTCCCTTCGTCCTCCCTCGTCCCGCCGTCTTGCATAGTTTCCCAGGTGTCAATTTGCCATGGCTTTGTAAGACATTTTATTATGAATGTTATTTTAAAAGTGAACAATCGATGAGCAGAAATCTTTCTTGTTCTGACTCAAAATGTTACATTAAATTTATGAGAGTTTGCAGGTATATTTTATGAGTCTCGTTCGCGAATGCCGCAGAGACAAGAACAATAGTAATTTCTGTAGTGGCCTTCACAATCAAAATAAAATTTCGTACAAAAACACTATGGACACGAAGAATCATGCCACCATTCATTGTAGTTTGCGTATCCTAAAATACGCTTTCGCACCCTAAAAATACGAATAAAACTATAAAATCCGTGTAGTATACAAAGTTACAATTTCGCCACAGCTGTTATTTGTCGCGACGATGCAGGTAATACAATTATAGAATGAGCGCTATGTTTTGTTGTAATTGGTACGCCGTTTTCGTCACTCAAAGGACAAAGCGAACTTTTCTATTAATTTTTAAATAGAAAAAACACATCGTACTTACTGTAATTTAGGAATAGAATAAAAAAGCAATTCGTACTTGTCGTTTTCGTATTACAGGTCGACTGATCAAGACATCCCAACAAAATGCTGAAGTCAAGTATAGTGGTGTTTGCTGTGAGTACAATTTTATTTCACATGAAAATTTAGTGTGACTCAAAAACTAAACAAAAAAGAGATTATCCGGCAGCTGACCTCACCCTTTGACAAGGCGGCATTGCCTCACCCATGGGTATGGGTCCGCGGCCTTTTGTGATGGCAAAACTCGACAGAGTAAAATAACATCTCGATCACTTAAATAAAACTCGACCAGTTAAATACAAAAAAATACCAATGCTATTTAACGATGCACACTTTTTATGAGCATTCTGCAAAGCGTTGATCGAGACAAATCATTTTGGAAAGGGCCTAGATCGGTAACATATATGTCTGTCATGATACGCCCTTTTTAAAAGTGCAGTGGGAATTTTACTCTGTATTAAAACCTGGAATACATGTTCTTAAACCGCGTCGTTAATACCCCCGAAAGGACATTGCAAAAATACTTTCGTAAAGGCATTCCAACCTTATTTAGAGCAGGGCCTCCAAACCCCGGGCCGCGGACCAGGTCCGGCCCGCGACGGCGTTTCGGCCGGCCCGCAGATACCCGTGCTGTTTCGAGTGACTTTAGGCCGCTCGCCGGGCCGCCTCTACAATCGCAAAAATAAGCGCGCAAATTAGAAAAAAAAAATAAAGACGGCGTCGCGACTGTGATGCGCGTTAAATGCAAACGAAAATATTGAACAGAATGAGATAAAACTGCATGAAGACGCGAGTTCTCTCGCCACATTGTTTATTGGTCATTCTCGACACAAGCTATTCGTTACCCTACGTTTCATGTCAGTGTGACTATGATCGAAGATCTTTACATTCCCATGTAGTATATTGTGCTTAGGGTCCTGCGTCGCATCTATTGGATATTGTCGGCATCAGTTTTATCATTATCATTAGTCTTCTGCCCTGTGTGAATATGCCAATGTTTTTATGCGCTTTAATTTATTCCTGGTGACTATTTTGAGTTACATTATTTTCTAATGTCTTAATTAGCAACACACTGTTGTTGTTTTCAGCAAAGCAATAATATGTATTAATCTACTCTGCCCATTTAAAAGTTCGCTGTAGATTAAATTGTTGTATTTAAAGGCTTTTTTAGGTTTATATATTAAGTATTTCCTCATTTGTATTGACTTGTTTATGTTCCGGCTCTTGAGACTACGACAGATCCTCAATCCGACCCCTTAGCCTGAACGTTTGGATACCCCTGGTTTAAAGCGTTAGTTGATATCCATCCGACGGGGGAAAACAAAGCTTGACTTTCAGGTCCAAGAAAGCTAACAGACACTCTACAACACAAGTAGCTTGATCTGAGGAACTTTTTGGGGCTCCCTGGGGTTCCAATCTGGCCCCCGTTGCACATTATAGTTTCTTGAAGCTTAAGGAATGCAGTGTGGAACGAGTTGCTGTCTCGTAATCATTCCACAGTGAGTATAACATTGGGATATTAGCAAATAAGAACACCGAAGAGCGAAGCAGGAAGCAGCAAGTATGAACATAACGGGCGATGGCCTGCGTTTCTTAACCTACGAGTTACCATAAATGCCATATGGATCCTTCTTCATGTGCCACTTGGGAGATATAGTCATTGACAGCTTAAGAAAGGCAAGGTGTGACGATTCCCGAGCTTCCCAATATGGCTCCTCAGCCAGTCAGTTTGCGGTATCAGTCATTAAGACTGCCGACGAGCCATTCCCGAAACAAGAGGCACGAGCATAATATGCCGCACCCTGCGTTTTGAAAGCAGTCAGTGACTATATTATACCAGATTGATAAGGGCAGACCAGGCATTAAACAATGCACAAGGCTAAGAAGAAAATTCTAGCGTGTTGTCTTCTCGCTCACGAAAGTTTCTAGTTTTCATTTTTCATTTTCAAACAGTCATTTTGCTGTATCATCCAAACGTTTCAATTTCTTCGGGTGGAAGTTGTTTTGACATACATTTACAGATCGTGAAATAAACAGGATGGTACTTTTCCTTTCCAGATTTGTTTCGTGGTTTACATCAACTGCGGTGAGTAAAGGACTCCAGTGTTGCCAGAAATATGCACCTTCATTATCTCTAGATATACTTTATGATGAATTTTAAGGTCAAGTTTTGTTGCTTGTAAAACAATTACGTGTTTTAATCCCGGAAGTCTAACGTTGTCGGAATAGTGTGCTCAAGTGTGCCAGTCGATTCAGAAGCCGAGTGAAAGTTTCGAGTTAGATGCAATATCAGCTGAGCTGTTTATCTCCCGTACGCATAGTGTGTTGTGCCTAAAGCGTTTGACGTAAAATGACAGTGTGTTATCGAATTAGGTGAGATTTAATCATTCAAAAGGCACATATAAAGACAATCAATAAAATAAAATGCCTGCAGGAATTTATGTTAGATAAATGTTCGTGAGCCCTGGAGTAATTACACGTTTGTGTGATCGCTTATAACTGAGGTTACTGAGCGCTCCTATTTATAGCCTAAAGTCGATCCTTATATATCTCAAATGCTCTTTACTACTATCTATTCTATGCAAATCCTTTGAATCTAATGGTGCACATCCTACCATCATAAAACTGGGCAAAATACGTGATACGATAGATCAGAATACAAGTGCAAAATATTTAGAAAAACGTATATTTCATTACAAACGCCATTACATTCGTGGAAAAATAATTTAAATACAGGAGGCAACTACAACCAAATGTATCTGATCCGCCCTAAATACTTCACAAATACATTTGGTTGCTATAGTTCGATATTAGTCTCAAAGTTAACCCCCTATAAAACAATGCTCGAATAAAACGCGTCTATATGAAAATGAAAATTTTGAATCTAGCAATAAAAGTTACCTTCCGCAAACTAAGAAGTAAGGTCCACTGTATATTGTACTGAAAAAAAAAAAAAGCAGCTCGTGTAGGGCAAGGAACTATTTTTGTAATGCCCTATATAGTTTAAAAATTTCTTTTCAAGCGCTGACACCACGTGGTTATTTATTACTCACTTATGTCTGGTAGTAAACAAACTACGGAAAAGAGTACAACTAGTGGGTGGCAGAGTTCGATGACTTGACACTTCAAAAGCTTGCTCGCCGGTAACTGTCTCGAAAGTAATGGAAAATAAATTTAACCCTACAAAACCGACCAATAACTGAATGCCGCCCGTGCGATTTCTACACCTCTATTTTATGTTTGCTTGTATGTTTATTGTGATTGAACCTACCGCGTATCTCGCTCTTGACAAACAAATCATACCTCCAAGATAGAATCGACGGCAAGTTGATTATTAGATAGGGAGCGTTGATATGGCCTCTTGCAAGGGTTAGTGTCAACTACCCGTTTACCTTCCTCATATTGGTAACAGCATCCTATAACCACGACATGTCAGATAAAACCTATTAAACATAGAGTTCATACCAGACTGGTAAATGCGGCAACGCGGTATGGCTGCTTCCCTTTCCATGGATCCGGTCGGGTGGTTCGGCGGATGAGGGTGTGATCGGCGCGACATTGCCAGGTTTGTTTAGTCTACTGCTTTTTGTTTCGATGCTGGACACGAGAAATATACGTGGCTTTTGACGAAATGCAAGCCTTATTAACTACTCTGAATGTACACTTATGACGCCTAAGTCGCCGATCGCGTCTTTTACATTGTACCTTAGAGGCTGTATGCACCAAGACAAGGAAATTCCTTAGTAATTGTCTGCCCATTCTTTTTTTCCTTCTTTATTTCGAATATCGGCATAACGCTGCCGCTTGTGCGGTTGCAGTTTTTGACTGTGAACTCGTCTGAATGGCAACGTTTAGCCACTTGATGTTGGTTATCGTAGGCAGTGCCTATCGCTAACGTCAAGTATCGCCATGTAACAGCATAGCCGACAAAATAGCGAAAGTAGCGGTAGCAACGAGGTTATGGACACTGGTTTGTCGACAACTGGCATGGAGAATTTGTGGCGAAGACCCGCATATGGATACCCACAAAAAAAAAAAAAAAGGAAAAAAAGAAACACACTTTAACTTCTGCTTTGTAAAGATTCCACAAGAGACACTGAACAAGCTACACTCACTGACGGCACTGAGTTCCGAAATTATATAGTAGGCGCAGCCCTTCGGCGATATTGTTTTTCTCCGTCGCGGACTGTTTTAACGTTTTCAGATCAGAAAAAATCCAGTACTAAACCTTATTATTAAGTGTTAGATAACAGACAACAAAGATTTAAGCACCGAGATGGGTGCAGCTGATCATGGTGAAAATTACCCGATACTGTGGTAAAAGGTGGGAAAGATAGGACGTTTTCTATATAAGGATTTAAAAAATAAACAAAATTTCATAGGTGAGTTTGAGACGCCCCTTTTCCTGTGTAATTTTCTTCTTTAAGTTTTCCATCTTTCACCGCAGTCTTGGCTAATTTTCGACACGACCAACATCCATCAGCTTGCCTGCAAACTCACTGCGTTTTCGTATGCCGAAGTGTCGTTACTCTGAAGTGTGGCTTACTAAAGTTTCTTTGTCGTTCACCAAAATGAACACTAGGGTACCCGGAGACGCGTCTCCGGCTAGTGTGTTTGCCGGGACGAAAAAAATGATTCATCGATTTCCATCTGGTGACGTGTGTCACGCTGGTGCCGGCCGCGACTCCGGGTGTGTCATAGCAGTGGTGGTAGATGTGGAAGGCTCCTGTTCTGCTGCCGTTCGCTGTCCAGCTTGACAGTCCACGGTGGCTGCGGGAGCCAGAAGTTGGGACGCCATGACGGCAGCGACACTCGCGTTTCCCCATGCTTTTCGCCTAAACTTCTACGACTAACCGCCAGGATCGCGACATCAGACAGCGTGACACTCCGACTTTGCTAATGTCGTTTGGGGCCACACGCTAGTGGTTTTGAGATGATACAGAAAAACTGCTAGTCTTGGCGAAGCTTTTGATGAAATCTATTGTTTATATTTTAACAACTCAATTTGAAAATTGTTTGCCCCAATAAACATTATGAATACAAATTTTCCTAGGAGACAGGTGTGAAAGATTAAGAAATATGAATATAGAACTCAGTGGTGTTTGTGGTAAAGCGCGTTAGAGAGTATGTGGTAAGCATTGCAAAAGGATATATATATATATATGAGAGCGGCATATTAACTCACAACACCTGATTGTTTCTTTTTTTTTTTCTCTAGTGCCAACTCGAGTGGCCAACCATGGAGCTTCCCGAGCCCTGAGTGACTGCGAGCAACGTAAGCAGAGGGAGGAACGTAACACGAGTCCGCTGGCCATCCACATCGAATGCAACCCTGATGGAAGCTACAAGCCGATGCAATGCTTTGGAGATCCCAAGCAAGCCCGCAGGATGTGTGCCTGCTACGATCAAGAATACGACCAGATCAAGGCCCCATCGAGGCAGCTGAAGTCCTGCAACTGTCTGGCCGAGCATCACGAGAAATCAAAGTCCACGCATAGTAAGTATTCCCAATACATAATGTAAAATCATACATTTTATGATAAAGCATATTTTCTATTTTATTATCATCAACATCACATAAGTGGAGGTGACCAAGCGAGAAATCTGTGTCCAAGCAGCTTAGCTAGCCCTTTGCTTCTTTTTTTAAAACGCAGGGCTTTTGTGATACGCGAAATATTTTCTAATAAAACAGCTCGTAATATAAAGAAAACCTTAACAACAGCACGTAAATCACAGAAAATACAACAGTATGGTTTCATAAAACTCACCACTAAGATTAGATAAAAAAATTTCTTGTATATTTATTTTTTCGTATAAAGTGTTGAGTTGCATGAAAACTGTAAATGGATAATCGTATTTTCACTTCTAGAAAATGTTAGCTTTTAGCATTTTTACTAGTGTAAGTAGACCTAAAGACACCATAGAGAGGTTAATTAAACTAAAATAGTGAGTTTAATGTTCAGATTTATCAAGGTACCATGATCTTAGATAATTGTATTTCTTTCATACAGATTTTTTTTCTACTTATAGCTAGTGTGGAACGTTCCTAATAATATATCAAGGACGTCCAACCAAGTTATACCGTTTCGGGGCCCACTAGGTATTCTCCTGAGGAGTGGATAAGGATATGGTTGTTGTGGTCTCTTTGCACTTTACCATCCGCTTACTTCAAGGTATTCGTTCCATAACCAATTCAAGAAGAAATATAAATATACGACCGTGGATTTGAAGAAGGCTATAGCAAAAAATATTCCTTCTTAACGGCCATAGCTATTGTAGGCCTCGAAACGATGGTTCTCGAATTCGGGCTTGGTTGGAGACCCTTTAATTGTTGCTCCCCCAACGAAACAGATTTCGGTCTCGAACGTTCACGTTCAAAAAGCATTCTGTAGACATATTATTTTACAGTGTTTTTTTTTTTAATTTGTAACCAAAAGCTAGCACATTTCAAATACGTGCTTCCTCCTTCTGATCACCTTTCAAAGGATTTTTAGTTGGAATTCAACCCAGCATGCTTATCATATTAATAAATGTGAATACGCCATTTGAAGTGTAACTATTAAAAGTTAAACAGGACTGCCCTATTTATGAGAGCTGTCTTTAAGTCGTTTCGCTAAAAATTAACTATTAATTGGCAATAATCAAAGATATGTGGCTAAACTGTGCAGTGGTATTTATATTAAGATGTAAGGACATTTGTCAGTAATTACTATCATATGGGAGACAGATGAGGTTATAATTTGGTGGAGACATTAATCACAGCCTTAAATTAACATTCCGTGACGTTAGCCCTAATTATTAGATTAATTTTGTAGACACGGCTTATCGACAGCTTCCAAACCTGGCACTTGGCGCTACAAGACCGGATGTTAAAAATTACGTAAAAAAAAAAAAATCTTGAAAGCTAACTTGCCAGCGTTTTGGTACTGCAAATAGTAATCGTGTGCACGGTGCTGCAGGGTTTAAAAATGCTATTTTGCGCCGCGCATGGCCAGCTTCTACCAAAATGATATGAATAAAGAATTGACAGCGCTTAGGTGTACAAAAAAATTACTAAAATATTAAAATCTGTGTTGCAAAATATAAGTGCCATTAGAAAAAAAGGTGTTGTAATTTAGAGAAAATCAAGGGGATTTCCGTCCAATGCTATTAGGGCAGCCATTTAACAGGGTATTGTTAATTTACTTACCAATACATTTTGCTTCGTGCCTCTTAAATATTTACCACCATATGAAACTCGTTTTCTAATGAAATTATAAGGAACTACTACGTCCAGGCCATACTGTTGGATTGGTGGAATATTCTGGAGACCTGTCTTTATGGAAACACATGTTGGAAAGAGTAGTATGTACAGAAGATTTTACATTTAGTCTGTTTCAGCCCTAGTGTAGCAGAGGCTTTCTTGATTAAAGCTGATTTTGTGATAATTATTCTATTTCTTCCAGGTCAAGTTGGAGTGGAAATTCCCAAGTGTAATTTGACGAGTGGATATTATGAGCAAATGCAGTGCAACACTCAGCAGCATTGGTGCGTGGATCCAGAACACGGAACCGCACTTGGAGAAAGGCGTCCCGGAGGCTGTGCCGAAGCTACGCGCGACCACTGCTAATCAAGAAAGCTCAATTCAATACAGGAAAACTGTCAAGGACTGTCACATAACAGTTCCCTTATTAAAAGTGGTCAGTTACCACGAGTTGTAAACCTTGGCGTATTCTATGCATGGGCATTAAGTGGAATATCTTTGCGAAGTCGACAGAAACGGGATTATTTGAAAACATGCACTACATTTTCAATATCTATATTGGTTTCACACGAAGCATAAAACACCAAACTCATAGGCTACGGGCCGTTCGTCGAAGACAAATCGTAGCAGGTCCATTGATAGCAGGGCAGTTCGTAAACTGAGGCATTTCGCCATTGAGCGAATCATCGCGGTGAAAGTTCGACAGACTATTGAAATAACTTAAGGCTAGCCCACATGGCGCGCTTTTCTCCGCGTCTGCGTCGCGTCTGCGCCTGCGCTTTGACGTCACTTCCGGCGCCGGGACGAAACGCAGCGTTTTTTGGCGCATTCCGGCGTATCTGGAGGAGCCAGATATTTTGCGTCCAGGCGTCGCGTCTCGCGCTGCGTCCAGATGGCAACAACCAATGAACGGCCGTGTTCACTAGTTGCAATGAGCGTTGGAATTTTCTCTACTGTTTTCGCCACTGTACGACTGTAGTTTTCGCCACGGACCTTGCGACAAAGGCGATCATAATAACAATAATAATGTTTATTTGCACAGATTGCGATACCCCTCGGCAGCGTGCAAGGCTAGGCAGAAAGGTTGAGACCCTTACGCAGGTGCACCTGCTAGCCCACCGCCAAGTAGGGAAAGGGATACGAGAGAAAAAAAAATAAATACAAACACTCAAAACAGAAAGATACACTCACAAAAAGGGTAACAGCCCTGTGCCATTCCAAAGCAGAGCGCACGCACACACGCACACCCGCGCGCGCGGAGTTTACAAAATTTGCACGCTCGCGGCCAAACGGCTTTTAGTCCCCGCCAACACTCGCAGCAGGGCGAACATGGGTAGTTAGTAGTTACGTCCTTCCCCCCGCGGATATCAGTTTACCATACCTTTTACACAAGTCCAGGGACTACTCCCTGCTCCGCGGGAGAGGCTGACGCTCCTTCAGCGGAACAGAGAGGACCTAGCAAAGTACAAAAGCGTCCTGCACTCTGGCAGGCGAAATGTAAAGAATACAAGGACACCGAGAGACAAAGATACAAAATTAATACTACCGGCAACAACCGCAACAACGCAACCTCTGTCGCCTCTGCAGCGGCCAGCGGCCAGCGGCCAGCTGTCAATGTTTTGGGGTTTTGGCGCGGGCGCGGGCGATGGTGATGCCGTATCGAAACGTGGATGAGGCGTACGCACTAAAAAAGGATGAAAATGAGTGAAAGTGAGCTTCATTGCAATTGCTGTAATAAAAATGAGTCCTTACTATTACTAAAATTAAATATTACGGCATGTAGCCATCATTTAACGCGCGATTTCTATTTAAAATTTGCTTTTGTTTCTTAAGCGCGTCTGGCTACGTTGGGCGGACGCTTCGGAAACGCAGACGCGAAGCGCGCTGCGTGTGGTTTGACTGGGCGCACGCGTCTGGCTGAGCGCGCGCGCCAACCCGAGACGCGCGTCTAGACGCACTGAAAAACGCGCCATGTGGGCTAGCCTTTAGTTTTTTTTTTTTTATAGGAGGTCCCAGTGTACCTCCTAGATAGCATCAGCACCAGCAGTCCCGGAGCCGTCCAAGCTGGCCACCTCAGGTCTCTGGTCTTCCCGTCCTGCGTGCATCCCTTACTCCCACAACACTGCACATCGACTTCGCGCTCTTGCACATCGATTCGGCACCGAGGTATCTTTAGATGTAACTATAAATTGGGAGGCATGTGCAAGCAAGTCATCAACCCAGAATTCCCTTCCTCCTGCTCAAAATTATATTTACAAAAATATGCGCAGTGCTTTACGTGCTTTGGTCGCAACCGAAGGGTCGTGGGTTGAAACTCCATCTCCGTCTAAAAATTTTCGAAGTTTTTTTTTTTTTTTTTTTTTTTTTTAAAGGAACCATGAGGTCAATTTAAGTTACCTTTTTTAAAGAAGGTGTTTTCGGGCGCATTGAAGTCCTGGTACGCCACTTTCTTTTTATAACTTTGTGACTTATTTTTGCCCCTGCAAAAAAATTTGCGAAAACGCAACAAACATTCACATTTCTTTCCTTATTCGCCTTTGCAAAGGCAGCTGACGTCGAAGAGCACTGTCGGTATCGGTACAATTTAGTGGCCGCTCAGCCAGGGTGGAGGTTTGGGAAGAATACGCTGCGTCCCTTGCAACCTCCTCAGAATTTACGGCGCTCGTGCTGGTCGCAATATGAAAACTTCGTACCAGTGCTGCCGCATCTGCAGGTCATCTTTAAGTTAGAGCTGACGGAGAAAATCTGGCTACGGCGAAACGCGGATGTACGCTGGAAGCTAAAGCTGGTTTGCGTTCTTTTTTTTTTTTTCTTTTTTTGTTTGGTCGGAGAAAATCTGCCAACAGCGCACGTTCAGCATGGCGCCGGTATCGTTTCGTCTTGACGGGACGCAAGAAGCTCCGTAGTTCGCGAGCACATGTAGCGAAAACGTGACCGTAGTAAGTGCCGCTCTGATGTTCCCGGAAGACGGAAAGTATCATTCGTAATCGTCGTGTGCGCTTTGAAAGCGAAGGCAGTCCCAGGGTCCACGAGTGCGCAACCACAAGCTAAGGTTCACGACAGCGCTGCGTTGACTTCGGCGATCTCGTTTTGCTTAGTACAACACGGAGCGCACTCGTGTTGCACCAAAGAGCTGAAACGTTCGTAGTGTTTGTTGTGGTACTTGGAGGTAGAAACCCACACCAACACGGAGCGCAAATTGGTTCTTGTGGAGTTGAGGCTCAACGGGTTCAGTCCCGTCGTCGTCAGCTGATCCTGTCCAGCTGGTCCGACAGGGCTCAGCGAGCGTCTTTAAAAGTAAATCTTCCTTCGTTTCGTTTCAATATGTGGAAGATTCCTGACGCACACCATGAGTAAAAAGCTGCGGGCGGTTTTAACAAAATTACGTTGCTTTAATTGAACAATGGACTCCGGATTCTTGTACTAAATCTGCAGTTTTTTATGCTTCGTGTTGTTGGATTGCTTTTGCGCAGCGACGTGTTTGCAAAGCGACGCACCCTGCTCAAATGGATGATTCGGTCCTGCAAACGACCGGTTATACAGAATTTCAGGGAAACTTAAGACACCACCGATATTTTCCTGCAAATCTCGTGCGAGTTTGTTGCGCTAGTCCTGCCGTGTGATAAAACGTTGGGAAGATTTCCTACCTGCCCACAGATGCATGAACTCAGACAATTTTTTTACGTAGTGAACATATCCTTTTTCTTTATTTTGAGAAGTTGGTGCATTTATTATGGCAGAATCAATTGAGAGTTCAGAAATTGAAGAAAGCGAGCAAGCTTTCCTTACTTTGCTTTTTTTCTCTCTGACACTGCCCCTGGTTTCAAGTTGCCGTTTCAGTAGACATACCTATACTAGCAGGCACAAACTTCTCTAAAGCAGGTAAAAGACTGGAAAGTCAGGACTGTGCGGACTCCGTGTTTCCCGCTTTTCGCAAGGTGACTGGGAAAGTGCTTTTGCAAGGTAGGCGGAATATGCAAACGATTTTGTTATGCCCGTCGTTTGCGTCTTTCCAGCAAAACGAATAAGATGATCTAGAGAGGTGCAATCACAAGCCAAGATTTACGATAATTGCGATGGCTTCAATGGTCCGTGCGGTTGTATCTTACTTTGCTCTTTGTAACACCGTGTAATGGCGAAGAGCTGGAACGTTCACGGTTTGGGCTGGGCTCACGGGGACCACAGACTCCGAAAACGAAACCAGATCAACGAGATAACTGCCGCACGTACTCCGGAACGACGGAAACGATAAGGTGTCAAAGCCCGCTTTTAGGGTTTCAAAATAAGTAAACAAGACAAATACAACTAAACTTCGTTGTTTCATGCGGGAAGACTTACGTAACACACGAATACATTATATTTCCAAATCAAAAACCAAAGTAACACTCAGTCCGCCGAGGTCCCTTTCCCTCTTTACTCGCCCCTCCCCGCCCCTCCCTCCCCCCCCCCCCCCCCCCCCCCCCCTGCGCTGAGCGTTGTTCCCGTGTTTGGCAATAGTATATGACGGTCTATGAAGGAAACCTGGACGAAATGGACGGCAACGCCGCGCTTGCAAACGAGTTTGAGCTCCCGTTAAACGACCTCACGCCGACTGCTGCTCAGGACGCAGAACTCTGGATTGGCGCTTTACGAGGACACCCCCGACCTCCCACCTAGAGTTGCTGTCTAAGCTCCCTTCGGGAGCGAGAGTTGCGCGTTCATCCCCGTATCGCCGTCTTTCCTGCACGGCATGTTGATCCTGCTCCTCACCGGACTAAATTCGGCGAATAGCGGCGCCGCGCGTTCGAGGCGCGCGGCGCGCTCAAAAGCAGGGGAACGTACGCCGGGTGTGAGCAACATCTGCTTTCCTGCACGGCATTTGATCCGGCTACTCATGTAAGAAGCCGGATCGCGTAACTCTGGCTCCCGTAGGGAGCCTATACAAGAACTCTACTGCCACCGACTCCTCGGTTGCCACCGACTCCTCGGTCGCCGCCTCAGAGCGACTCACAGCCCTACTCGCCGATGCTACCACAACGCCGTTACGGGAACACAACGCGCAACCTACTACAGAACATAAACGCGGCATGATTGAGGAGACGTCAGTCCGCAAAGCGAAAAAAGAGGCGAAACGCAGGTGAGCTGGTGAATAATCATGATTAAAAAATAAAACTTTGAGACAAGGAAAGAAAAATGGACATATACACCACCGTCTCAAAACCAGCACAGCATACAGCTGCCGTTTACTTCCACGAGTCTTGTTTGTGATCCTACACGCTAAACACACCATGAAACCTATTCCTATACACGCTGTGAAACCTATTAATTTTAAACTACAACTTTAAAAAAGTATCCAACGTTCAAATTACTAGTTTGTTTTATCACATCTCACCACCGAATTTGAAACCAAAAGCGCGTCATTCGTTTGAACCAATCGCCAGACGAGGAGCCC